TTCCTTGTGTTTTTCTTAGTACAGAAAAAATCATTTTTAGGAAACAGTGCAGAACAGCAGACAATGATATCACAAAGAGCTTGGATAATTTTAACATGCTGTTTGTAAAAAGTGATGTAAACGTGAAGAGTAACAGTATTTACTTGAAAGTCTTATATGTATACTGTATCTTTATCAAGGATGTATAAAACATCTCAAACCTGGGGGCACTTTTTCATTGCTGAAGGGGGCTTTTTTTCAGACTACTTGAACTAGAAGGAGAGAGAGAGTTGTTGCAAGTCCAGGGCACTTCCTGAAAATAAAAAAGGGCACTTTGTTGTTAGTTGCAAAATTGGGGGGGGGGGGCACGTGCCTCCTGGTTCCCACATCTCTGATCTTATTCATGCTCAAGCCCAAGGACTCAATTGGAGAATGCAGAGTCCATCAAATGGCAAATGTTGTGCTACTATCCCTCCCAATTTTAATGATGTTTATTTATGAAATCTGTCCTCCAGCATCATCTGGACCTTGTGCAACAGTTTTAACTTATGTCAGGGTACACCATTTTTTTTATTTTCTCAACTCTTGTTTGATATAATAGTTTTCATTACTCATGCCAGTTTCCTTTTTTAACTCCACATAGACCATTCGAAACCTGTTGCACCAGAAAAGCCCTGTGAAACTGCAACCTCTTGTGGCAGATGAGATACAAATAGGAACTGATAACTTACTTGAAGAAGAGGTTGGTGTCAGCAGCTCAAGAGAAGTGGTAGAATCAAATAACAAGAATGACAAATGCACAGGCACGTCTGATGAAATCACCCTGCATTGTACTAAGTGTACAAATTTGAAAAAGAGGCTGCATAACTGTCAGAAGATCGTCTCAAACTTAAGGAGAAAATTTCACAAAAAGAGACATGTAAGTTGGTCACATTTTTTCTGTATATGCTAGCATATTAAACTTGCAAATAAGGTCTACTTAAAAAATCATTCCTGCTACCCACATACCTATTTGTAATTAAAGCTATTGTGTGAAATTGCACATTGCACGATTTTTGAAAAATTCGCATCAGCTACTCTCTAAGTTTTCACAGACATACTGTACAGTAGCATATGTCTGACATTTAACCTCATCGTTCTGTATATGTGGGCATGATCATGCACTGTTCGTTATTTATGCCTGCTTGTAACTTGTCAATATGAAAAGTGGTAAATGTTGTTTTCCACAGGATGTTATTTGCGTGGATGAACAAGTAAACCAACCAAACATAACGCCTGAAGAAGACCAGCATGTTTCATCTGATGAAGAGGAAACAGATGAAAGTGTCAGTGATAGTGATGATGACTGGGAAACAATGGAAAACTTGACTGATGATGATGATGGTGATGATGATGACAAGGAAGATGTTGCACAAAATTCACAGGAATGCAAAAGGTGGGTTGTTTGATCATAGTAACATATACAGTAGTAATGTGCTCCAATATCTGCATTTGATTTTCAAAAGTGCATGAATTTCTTTTGAATTGACAGTTCTGATAGGTTTGAAATAGGTCATACTATTCTGTACATATAATATGTGTAAAGTACTTACTGATATCCATTTTTATTTTTCAGCGATGATAAGAAAAGCAACCAACAGTATGAAAAGAAATACATTATATTTCAGTCAATGCTGTTAAAGTTATTTAGCATGTTTTGTTTTATCTGCAAATCTGGAAAACCCTCTGTAAAGATAAGAGAGAATGGGACAATGGTTGTTGTGACTCAGACCTGCAAGGACTGTGGTGGGTCATTTCAGTGGAAAAGCCAGCCAATGATCTTCAATCGATACCCTGCTGGAAACATACTTATGAGTTTCGCAATGTTGATGGCTGGAGCCAAAATAAGCCGTTTCTTGTTAGTCTGCAAGCATATGGGTTTATCAGTAATAAGCCCCAGAACCTACCTTTACCATCAGAAGAAGTTCCTTTTTCCTCAGATTCTCTCCTTTTGGAATTCATACAGAGAAAAACTAATCAAGGGATTGGAAAGTAAAAGAAACATTTCATGGGCAGGAGATGGTCGTTTCGACTCAATGGGCCATAGTGCAAAATTTGGTCTTTACTCCATGCTTTGCCCAACAATACTGAAGATTGTGCATTTTGAGCTCATCCAGGTAATGTCAGACGTTTTTATGAACATAGAATAAATACATTACAGTTGTAGCTACCAAATTATAACAAGTTTCTTCTAGCAAGTATTGATGAAATAAAAATGAAATGAAATTGATCCTTACAAAACTGAGCCTTTCTCAAAAGCAGTTTCTTAGAGAAAAGAGAAGAGTTTAAACTGTATATCGCAATATTGTCTCTGACTGGTGAAGAATTTGCAGGGGGTAAATATTTTACGCAAGAATCTATAATTTTTCCCAATACCCCCATTCATCATTTTTCTTCCCCACCAGGGTTTTAATTGAAGGTCTCTAGATGTTAAGGTGTTATCTACATAATCATATTGCAGTTTTGTGGATAATTTTATTCCTGAGAATTTGCGCAAATGTATAGGCCTTCAGCTATTCTACAAAAGAAATTGAGAAATCTTCTGAGTGAATTACAAAAAGGAAGTCTCCTGTAGAAGATTTTAGCTTCATTATTTACGTTAAAATTAAGGAAAATGTTTAGTTTTCCTGGATTTTTATTAGATCATTCAGCAAATATTCTAGATAAAACACCTTCTCTGTCAAATAAATATTTTTTCGTGTTTTTTTGTATTATTCTACATCATGAAATAGCCTACAATGTGTTGAGAAGTAAACTCATTTGATGCATTTCTTTTCAACAGGCAAACGAGGCAGGTAGCAGCAACGGAATGGAGTTGTTGGGAGCGAAGAGATGCTTTGAGAATTTGAAAAAAGATGGCATAGTTATAAAGAAATTTGTATCTGATCGCCATTTAGGAATAGCAAAATGGATACGTGAAACACAGAAAGAAACAACCCATCTGTATGATATTTGGCATGTTGCAAAGTCTGTGTGTAAAAAGGTTTTAGCAGCAAGCAAGCAAAATGGATTTGAAGTTTTAGGAAAATGGATAAAAAGCATTCGTCGTCACATCTACTGGTGTTGTACTTCAACCAAAGAAGGATTTGGAGAGCTAATAGTTGCAAAATGGAAGTCTTTTTTTTACCATGTTGCAGACATGCATGAAGGGCATCCCAACGAATTATCCACCAAATGTTCTCATGGAGAACTTGGCAAAAGGAAATGGATCAAAATTGGTAAGTTAAATTTGTCCAACTTTTAACTTTCAGGAAATCTAGCAGTAATTGAAAAAGCAATCATAACAAGGAAACAGTTATAACAACATATTACATTTTGATTTTCTACTTAGGATGTAAATCAGATTCCTCATACTTTTTATATTCACATTAGAAAATACATATTATTCTCCATAAATATTTCCTTCTTCTTCAAAGGTTCAGAACCTTATGACAAACTATGTGCCATTGGTTTGCATGGAACCTTACTTGGTGATATGTCTAGGTTGTCACCTGATGTGCAAACAAGCAGTCTGGAAGGCTTTCACTCATTACTAAATTACTGGCATCCAAAAATGATTGCGTATTCATACCTTGGAACAGTGTGTAGGTAAGGAGCAATTTATGTCAGCACTCAAGAAATTTGGAAAATTCAAAAAATTGAAAAATTTCCTTAATGAAAAAACTCAAAAAGAAGGCAAGGAATACAGGTAAAGCATGGGACCTTATAGAACCATCTTTATGCTTTCAGTGTGAATACAGATATGGCATGCCCTTTTATAATGCACTAGCATGCCCTTTGAAAGTCTCCAACGTGGCATTTTCTATTGTTCCAAATCTATTTGCTTATAGCAGCATGTCTTTATACAATTTGTCTCCTTTGATAATTTAAAAAAGAATTATGTTAATCAGTTTCACTAATTGGACATCATGGCTTGCAACTTTTCAAGAGCCTGCAAAAAAGCCACTACTGCCTTGGTAATCTGTTATGTGCCAGATGGTGGCATAGTACCTTTGTCAACATTGCAATTCTATTTATCAAACACTCTTTTCATAGGACAATTCTAGCCATACTGCATTTTAATGAGAATGTCAAGAGGGAGAAAAGAAGAACAAAACAGGGAGAGGTTTCATACCACATCACATACCCCAAATTCAAACTTGGAGATGAGGTTGTTAGAGCAATAGCAGTCCCTCCAACATATGGTGAGGCATATGGTTTTTGTTGCACTTTTGTATATCATAGGCCTTGCATACAACAACTGCATCGACCAAATACAGTTTTAATGTGCCAAAAAGCTGACTGAAGTAACTGTAAAAGATTTTTTGATCCATTCTTGGAACTTCTGTTGTAATGAACCTTCTTACTGTAGCAGAAATGGTCTCCAATCAAATATTGATGTATTTGAAGTACTATTCATTCCATAATTTGTGGAACATCAAAAGCTTTCTTTTGGCATGACTGTTCAAACTGTATTTTCATAAACTGATGATTACATGAAATAACATATGTACTATACAGCAAAACATATTATAACTTCAGCTGAATTTTTTTTATTTTAGGATATGTTGAGGAGATGAGAGGCATGCTTTTTTCGTTATCAAAAGAGGATATTGAAGCAATGGCCACTAGAATGGCAGAGTATACGGCAAAAGTCCCAGAGCCCCTGAACAGAAAGTTTACTGAGAAAAACTCACGTGAAGAGGCAATTGCTAAATGGAACGCAAGGAAAGTCATGCAAACAGATTTGTTTCCCCCATGTAAGTTTTGCCACTATAGCTACTGATACCTTTCAGAATGTCAGATATTTCTTACAAAATGTTTGTTTGGTTGACCATATTTAGGATCACTTTTATCATGCCACAAAAGCCTGATCACAATTTGTATAATAGACATTCAAGAAGACTATGGAGATATGTAATGGACCTTTCCAGAAATTATGCCCAACTTCTTTTTTCTGATGTTTTTCTGATATTTTTTGCTAGACAGTCAAACTTGTGCAAGTCAGACTTTCATAAGTCACCTATTCGCATAAGTCAAGAGAAAATTGGGCAATCCTGAAAGTCCCACTCACTTTTCTCATTTCATTTGCATCCAAGTACATAGTTTTCTTGGTCCAAAGTGATCTGACTTATAGATACGAGTTTGACTGTATTGACTTCCAAAAGTTTGCTTCAATGAAATACATTTAGTATTCTTTAATTTTGACAGCTAATGTCCAAGAAGAGCTTTTAAGAGAATATAGAGAAAAGCAACAACAAGCACAAGACTTGGCCAGAAATAGGCAAAGATGTTGCAAGAAGTGCAAAATGCCAATGAAAGGACACCCTCAAAAAAGATGCCCAAATTCAAAAGAAGATTGTTGATTACGTTGATATGGCATTAGGAAGGCCATCTTTGCTATGAATTTTCAAAAGTGGGAACTTTTTTCTGGTTCACCCGGTATACTGTACTAAAGCTAAAGAATGAATGTCACAAGAGGTCATTTAGGAACTTGCAATATGCAACATAAATGTTCAAATTTGTCATCAAAGGACATGTCAAAAGATTTAGAAATCTGAAAAAAAATTGTAAGCTACAGTAATTGTAGCCTACAGTAATTTGTGTGGTTAGCTTTTTGATCACCCTCAGTGACATTACATTCTTTAGTCTCCCCATGAGAGAAACAAATGATCCAGAAAATATTTAATGTTCATGTAGCAACTAGTTCCTTTCTTCTGATGCCATAAAGCCAGTGATTGCTCTCACTGGAAACTTTTTTCTTATGTGTTCATAGATGCATGCTGACAAAGGTCTGCTATTATCCCAGCCAAGGTATCCACATATCCATCTAATCAGCCATCTATATGCAACTGCTCTCATAAACCTAAAAAGAATGATGATGGTTACATATGCTTGAGCTAAGAGCTGCCCTAAAATTATACCAAGACAATATACCTGAACTGCACAGTCAAACTCACACAGGTTGGACTCACAGAAGTTGGACTCACACAAGTTGGACATTCCAATCAGATGGGGAAAACAAGACCCAAATCTATTTTTCTTTCCAATTGCCTTAACTTGACTTGATTTAATTACATTCTTTGGACACCACGTCAGTCAGTCAAAGAACTGAGTTACACTGGGCCATGCAAATACATACATTCAAGATACTTGGAAAAAGAAAAGCATACAAAGTTATACTATCTAATTTACAATAATGCTCTCCATAATTCAGAATTTGGGTTGGTAGGATCGTTTTCATGGTCTAAGTGATTTGACTGTATATGACTTGACTGTGCGTTTGTTTATTGATTGACGCTTTGATGTGTTCGCTTTTAGCACAAGAACATTTCTTCAGAAAATTATTTGTGACATTAATGACTTCCAGAGACGTAGGTAGCATCTCAAACTGGGGGGGGGGAGGGGGCGCACAACACTTCAGGGCACTTATTTCATTAAACTACAGGGGTACCACTCTCTTGAAAATAAAAAGAGCAATTCTTTGTTCATTTCAAAATTTGGCAAAATCTTGTGTCTTGCACATGCCCCCAGTGCCCCAGGTTCCTACGTCTCTGATGACTTCAAAAGATCACTGAAGATAATCATTATAACATCTTACTCATTTTCTGTGGTGTCTTTCTTCTTTCTGTAACTTTTACCATCTCTGCACTTCAACAGTGGTGCTACTTGTTTTAAAACAGTTGTGTTTGTAAGTGCCACAAAGTCATCATGCTGAGTGACACATTTGATCCTGTCAATGCTCCCATCAAAAGTGAGTTTTCCATGGGCTGATAAAATTTCCCAACAGCAGCGATACTCTCTAGATCCTGCCAATTCTGCAATGGAACACTTATGGCACATGCACCTGTAACACAACGTAACATATATCAAATAAGATTGTGAAAGATGAAAGTAAATCCAAAGTCCAATGGTATCAAACAGCACCGGATCATTACCCATTGTGATCACAGAGTTATTTGAAAATGATGCACTTTGCAAATAAATTAAGCATGTGGAACAATTGCCATCATAGTTGCCTATGAAAGGCATAGGCTGTTTCTTTGGTCTAAAGCCTATTATTTCTGGCAAAAAAGGCAAGGACCTACCACAACAATGGCCAAAATACATATGTAGAGGCAAGAATCACAAAATTGTACCACTTTTAGCCATTGTGATTCTGATTTCTACCCCCACTCCCCGTTTGCAATGTCTAAATATCAGTTTGTCTCTACTATAAAAGTGACACTTTTGATGTCTTGCTAGACAGGTATCCATGGCATGGGCCTAATAAAATCCAAATAATTATTGGTCAAACCCACGCCTTTATTGTCGATCGGCCTAGGCTTAGCACAAATATGTTTTGATAGCAGGTTATCTTAAAAACTGGTTAATCAATCCGCTAAAGCTTTCAGTTAAAGCTAGAGGATACTCACCAGTTCTCAACAGGCTCTCTTCTAAGAAATCTTGCTTCTAACGATGCTAGCGTTAGACCATCTTCGTCGCCCTCTCGTGCAAGGGGCGCTCCTTCCCCATACATATCATCGTCATCATCAGATGCCAAAGGGTCGTCGATGTATGGCTCTATGTTTGTTGAGATCACGCCTAAGTCCTCATGATCAGATAAAGAAAGGCTTCCCCCGCTTGACCTTGAAGAAGTTTCTTGCTCGTTAGACATTATATCGTGTATTTATGAAATGTTTTCCTCTGCCAAACCTGCTCGAAATCGCGTGTTGACAATGCCTGTTTCTCTGCATCAACTGTGTGACTCAACCCGACGACGTCAAACATTGCCACTCGCCCCAGACCCTTGTCATCCGACCTCTCCCATTTCGAACCCCCAAAAAAGCAGCTTCCCGTCCCCAAATACAAATTTAAACTTTCATACCGTTATTTAACAAGAATAGTCTCTTCAAATTAAACTTGATAAGGGGGTGCTTTACAGTTCAGTAAGAATGATGCTAAAAAAGTACATATATATTTTTCTGTTCTGAATGCTCACCTAGCAAGAAGCAAGCCCACCAAACAACCAGAATGCTCAAAAAGCATACATGCATGCATTGGGTGCCATCTTTGATGAAGCATAATTAAGCTTGAGATAAAAATCCACTGGGCTATTGTCTGTTTTATGGTTGCGTTAAAGTGCTAGAGGAATTTTCCCCCTACTTTTGAACGTTTCCAGTCCATCTGAA